TGCTCAAACTCTATACGCCATGAATCTCTGAGGCTCTGGGGAACAAACTCTCTCATAAACATGTCCGAGAACTGGGTCCAAGTCAGTGAAGCAGCCTTGACTGGACTGTCTAACTCATAAGTGCGCCACCAATCATAGGCAGCTCCCCGAAGCTGAAAGGCAGTGAAAGAAACCCCGCTGGACTCCACTATGCCCATAGTGCGAAGAATACGATGACACTCCTCTAGAAATCCCAAGGCATCGTCTTATGCTAAGCCACTGAACACTGGGGGATCATATTTCTTAAACCTCTCAAGTCTCCGCTGCTCGTCCTCTGAAGCAGATGACCCATCCTCGGGCTGAACTGGCGCTGCAGGCGGTGGGGGAATAATCTCGGGAACCTACTCAACCTGCACTCGCTGCTCAGGAGTGCGGACGGCGGGAGTCTGTGCTCCTCCCCCGGCCTGGGATGTGGCTACAGCGAGGGGAAGCAACCCCGCCTGAGCCAAGGTGGTGTACATGCTCATGAACTGAGCCAAAGTCTCCTGGAGCGCTGGAGTAGTAGTGGCAGTAGTAGTTGTGCCAGGTGCCTGGGCTCCGGCTGGATCTGCTGGTGGTACCTCGGCGGCAGCTCGCGCAGGTACTCTGGCTGCACCACGTGCGCGTCCTCGGCCTCTCCCCCGACCCCGGCCTCGGACGGCTGCAGTAGGGGGCGCGGGTGCCTGATCATCTCGAGTGGCAAGTGTCCTCACCATCTGTGAGAGAATAGAAGTCAGAAGTTTAGAATTGATGTCAAAATATCGCACGACAAGGAATTCAAATGAAACGAAGATTTTTCCTAAACGGTTACATAGCCCCTCGTAGATAAGTACAGACGTCTCCTTACCGATCAGAGAGATTCTAATAAACGGCCTGTGTTCCGTGACTCCTATGAACCTAGAGCTCTAATACCAACTTGTCACGACCCTAGTTCACCAACCGTGAACACGTCATGACGGTACCTGGTCCCCATGACCAGGTAAGCCTAACATTTGCGGAAAATATAATAATTGCGGAAAAATAGAGAAAATCAATTCAAATATCTAAAGGAAACTGTACTGAATGCCGCTTAGCAAGTATAACTCAATATCACTAGTCTAAAATAATTCCCAAAACCCGGAAACTCACGAGCAACACAGGCTACAAAAGTGTATAGTAAAGGTTCCAAACTCCAGAATTTCTAACAACCGAAAGAAGGAAAACTAAGTACTAAAGATAGAATAAGAGGGAGACTCGTCGGTCTGCGGACGCAGCAGATCTACCTTGAAGTCTCCGTAGTCCTCCTGCCTCACTGATAGTGCGCCTGAGTAGAGGTACCTGGATGATTTGCACATGAAAAAAATATGCGCAGGAAGGGCATGAGTACACTACAGCGGTACTCAGTAAGTGCCAAGCCTAACCTCGGTTGGGTAGTGACGAGGAAGGTCAGGGCCATATTGAGACAAAATATAGTAATAACAATAATTAACAGTATGATAATCTGACAGAAATAATAAATACAGCAGTGAAATAAGACAGATTAAGCAAGGCAATAGCAAATACACAAGAACGGAACAACCACAGAATAAGTACAGCTCAACACCAATGGTAACAATGAGGATCTCCCAGGATACCGTCCTGTAGTCCTTTTCTCAACTGTCCAGTGGATCTCCCGGATACCGTCCCGTAGTCCATCATATGTGTATATCCGAAGGATCTCCCGGGATACCGTCCCGTAGTCCAACTATCAATGTGCAGGGGGATCTATCGGGAATCTAACCCGCAGTCCCAAAGTAAAAGTGCAGGGGGATCTACCGGGAATCGAACCCGTAGTCCCAAAGTAAACAAGCAGGGGGGGGGAGCTACCGGAATCCCACATCCGTAGTCCCAATGTAATTGCGCAATCACAACCAGAAGGTACACGGAAACAAAGTACAAAAGACAAGCAACAGGTAGTAGTGGCCTAGCATGCTTCACGTAGTACAGTTAAGGCAACTTAAGCAATTAGGCAAGTTAAATCAACTAAACATGCTTTCCTAATCTAGCACAAGTTATAATTGCAAGTAGAATAAAGCAAATATGAAAGGAACTCAATCTCAATATCTTAAGAAAAACCGGATTTCCAACAATTGGCTCAAGTACACGCCCGTCACCTCGCGTACAAGGCACTCAAATCAACAAATAACAAATCCTAAGGGGAAAGGTCCCCCACACAAGGTTAGACAAGCCACTTACCTCGAATCGGCACCAAAATCAACTCGAAATCACACTTTTGCCACGAGTATCCGACTCCATATGGCCCAAATCTATTCAATTCAATTACATATCGTAAGTAATGTTGCAAACAACTGATTCCACTATTAAATTTAAAGCTAGGACGCAAAAATAGGTAAAATGACCAAAATGCCCCTCAGACCAACGTCTCGGAATTGAATAATTTTCACATTTTCAGAACCCTCGTACTCTCACGAGTCTAACCATATAAAAATCTCCCAAATCGGAGGTCAATTGCCCACTCAAAACTCAATAATTAGGTCTATGAAGTTTCTTCCAATTTTTCCCCAAATTTTAACCTTGAATTCGAATTCTAATGGTGGATTTAACTATATAATGATAAAATATAACAAGAAGGAACCAAAGAAACGTTACCCAGTGATCTTCACTTCAACTCCCACTCAGAATCGCCTTAAACCGAGCTCTCAATTGATTTTTGTAACTTATGAACTCAAACCCTCGAAATTTCTATTTCTGCCCAGGATTTCCGCTTCTGCGGACAAGGGACCGCTTCTGCGGTCCCGCTTATGCGGAAAGTGAGCCGCTTCTGCGACTCTCACTAAACGACCACATCCGCTTCTGCGGTCTAGTCAACCGCTTATGCGGATTATCCACCGCTTCTGCGGTTCCAACTAAAAGCCAAACGACCGCATCTCCGGCTATTTTCTCGCAGATGCGAGGCCGCTCCTGCGGAATTTCCTCCGCATCTGCGACGCCTGGAAACTCTGCCCCAAACCACTTCTGCGATGATCCAGCCGCTTATGCGGCTCCACTTCTGCGGTTCCCAAGCCGCAGAAGTGAAAATACTAGAAGATGAAAAGAACCAGCTGCTGCAACACTTCAAAAATCTCCCCGTTAACCACCCGAAATCATCCCGAGGCCCCCGGGACCTCAACCAAAAGCACCAATACCACCTAATACCTTATTAAAACTTGTACCAATCCTTAAAACACCTAAAACAACACCGGAAGTCCGATTAAATCAAAGATTCAAGCCTAAGAACTTCAAATTCCAACAAAACACACTTTCAATCAAAAACCAAACCAAACCTCGCCCGAATGACCTGAAATTTTTGACACACATCCCAAATGACATGACGGAGCTACTGCAACTTCCGGAATTCCAATCCGACCCTCGGATCAAAAACTCACTATCGGACCGGAAACTTCAAAAATTCAAACTTCGGCATTTCAAGCCTAAATGAGCTACGAGCCTCCAAAATACATTCCGAACACGCTCCCAACCCCGAAATCACCTAACGGAGCTAACGGAACCATCGGATTTCCATTCCGAGGCCTTCTTCACACTGTTCCAATTACAGACCATTTTTTAATTCTTAAGCTCTCATTAGGGACTAAGTGTCCCAAAACACTCCGAATCCCAACACCGAACGTACCGACAAACCAAAATAGCAGAAATGAACTTAGGGGAAGCAGTTAATGGGGGATCGGGGCGTAAATTCCAAAAATGACCGGCCGGGTCGTTACATCTGTATTCAACTTCAGCTGAACCTCTGCTTATGGTTTGTTGTTTCTTGGATTTCCAAGATATCAAAGACTCCCCTAACTTGATTGCATAACCTGTTACTGATCTTCTTATATTTAGACAAGCATCCCAGTCTGAATCACAGAAGGTTGCTAACTTCTCTATATCAGCTCAACTTTTAAGGAGTGTACCTTATCCAGGTAACCTCTTAATGTACCTTACCAATCTCAAAGCTGCATTCCAATGTGATAATTTTGGTTGCAGCATGAATTGGCTCAGTATTTGCACTGCAAAACGGCCTGGTGATGGTCAAATATAGCAACTTGCCTACTAACTTTTGATAACTTCCAGCATATGTCAATTTCTCATCATCAGACTTCCCAACATATCATAAGCAACAAATGTGAGTTTTAAGGTTGACCTCTAGTGGTGTAGTAACAGGTTTGGACCCACTCAAGCCAATGTCTTCAAGCAATTCTAAATGATACTTTCTCTGATTAAGCAGAATCCCAGACTTAGACCTTAAAACTTTAATGCCCAAGAAAAATCTCAACTTTCCTTGGTCCTTTACTTTAAACCTGTTACGAAGGGTGTCTTTAGCTTCTTCAATCATCTTCTTGTTGCTCCCTGTGATGAGAATATCATCTATATACACCAAGATTATGACTATATCATCTCCAGCTATCTTTATGAATAGAGAATGATCATAAGGTCTATGCTTGTAGCCTACTTCTACTAGGGCATCAGTGAGCTTGATGTTCCATTGTCGAGAAGCTTGTTTTAAGCCAAAGATAAGTAGCTTGCATACCTTGTACTCCCCCTGTCTGTGAAAACCTTGAGGCAAATCCATGTATATTTCTTCAAATAAATCTCCTTGTAGAAAAGCATTATTGACATCCATTGGTGAAAGATCCCAATCACTTGAGGCTGCAATAGCTATCACTGTTCTCACAGTTACCATCTTGGCAATTGATGAGAATGTTTCATGATAGTCTAAACCTTCTTACTGTGTGTACCCTTTTGCCACTAACCTAGCCTTGTACTTGTGTATTTCTTCGTTGGCTTTGTACTTAACTTTATATACCCATTTAGATCCCACAGTTTGTTTGCCTACTGGGAGATCAACAATTTCCTAGGTGTAGTTGTCCTCCAAGGCAGTTATTTCCTGCCTCATGGCTTCTATCCACTTTTCATCCTGAGATGCCTCCTTAAAGTTTCTTGGTTCTGCAACAATTGAGACAAGACTAATGTAAATAGGATTCAGGTAGATAATCATAAGATATATAAGCATTAATAGGAACCTGACAAAAGGCTGAAGTTTTCTTCCCAGTAACATAGTCATTTAGCCATATAGGAGGCTTAGAGAATCTAGTAGGTCTACCCTTGTTTGATTCTTGGTTATCATATTGATTCCCTGCAGCTAACTCTTCAAGTTGCTCACCTGTATTTTGGTCAATAGTCTGCTCACCTGCATCTTGTTCAATTGTGACAATCTGTTGTTGGCTCATCTCAGCTGGCATGCTAGAATCTGAGATGTTATCAGTACTATTGGGATTGATATTTGCCTCAGAATTGGCTAGGTTTTCCTCTACATCTGCTGTATTCTCCAAATGTGTTCCTTCTGAAGAAGTGTTAGACACATTATCTTGTCCATTATCTGAGTTGGTAGTTTGAGGCCTTGCTTCTGGTGTAGCAGAAGTCATGCTCTCAGTTGGAGTTCGATCCAAGAGGAATGAATCACCATCTTCATTGTCTCCATAGTTCCTTTCCTTGAAAGGAAAAACAGTTTCCCTGAAGGAAACATCTCTGCTTACCAAAAATAACTTAGACTCCAGGTCATACAACCTATACCCTTTTTGTATTTCTAAATATCCCATAAACACTATTCTCTTTGCTCTTGCAGCAAATTTATCTTACCTTGGTAAAACACTAGCATAACACAAATATCCTAACACCTTCAAATGTTCCAGTTTTGGTGCTTTTCCAAGAAGTATTTCATAAGGTGACTTGCCTTTGAGGACTGTAGTTCGGAGCTTATTAATTAGGTAAACTTAGTCCTGTACACTTTTCCCAAAATCTAATTGGAACTGAACTCTGAATTCTTAAGGCTCTTGCAACCTCAAAGATATGTCTATGTTTCCTTTCTACAGTACCATTTTGTTGTGGTGTGTATGGGCAACTACTTTGATAAGTTATTCCACGAGCAGAAAATAAAGCACTACATTTAGAATTGAAGAATTCTGTACCATTGTCAGATTTTAGTACTTTAACATTCATGCCAAACTGGTTCTTTATCATCGAAAAGAAATTAGTCAACACAACTTTCATTTCACATTTAGACTGTATCAAACATACCCATGTATATCTACTATAGTCATCAACAATTGTGACAAAGTAAATATTTCCTATCGTATGTAGGCTGCTTATAGGGGCCCCAAACATCTAGGTGTACAAGCTCGAAACTACAGTATGTTTTACTTGTGCTGTCTGGGAATGTTGTCCTGTGTTGCATTGCCATTGGACATATTTGACACTCCTGTTGAGCATGCTCATCTGCTAAATCTTTCAAGGTGGGAATGTGCTGCATTGCTTTCATTGAGGGATGTCCTAACCTTGAATGCCATATTATAGTTCCCTTTTATCATTGCTGCTGCTGCTACTGGTTTTATTGCTTCTCTAAGGATATAAAGACCATCTGTTTCTCTACCAATCTCCATCACCTTTCCACTGTAAAGACCCTGTAAAAGACAGAAGTCAGGAAAAAAATTTAACAGTGCAAACAAGGTCCTTGGTCAGTTTTGATAGTGAAAGTACGTTGAACTTAAAGTCTGGCACATGTAGAACATTTTTTTATCCTCTGTCCCCATAGGATTATTGCACTTCCTATATCTGTTATTTGTGACTTGTTTTCAGTTGGTACCTATACTTTTCTACCTTCCTGACCTCCTAGCTTATTGATATCAGCTAGTTTCTCCTTGCAGGATGTGATATGATGAGAGGAATGTGAGTCAATGATCCATTCAAAAAGACAATCGCTCGATAACATGGAAACAATACTGCCATGTTAACTTTGCAATCACCAGCTGAGGATTTGTTCAGCATGTCTACAAGCTGCTTATACTCATCCTCTGTAAAATAGTGGCCTTGAGACTGGCTCTCAATAGAACTGTGCCCTTCAGCAGAATTGTTTCTTTCAACTGTTGCATTATTAGCATAGGTCTTGAAGCCACCAGCACCCTTCTCCTGCATTGGCTTTCTTTTGCTCTTGAGATTAGGTGGATATCCCATAATTCTGTAGCAATTCTCCTTTTGATGCCCCTTATACCCACAGTGTTCACAGACTACACCAAACCTTTTGCCTTTCATCATTTGTCCTCTGCTAGCTAACATGGTCAATGGCTCCTTATTCATGTCCATTACACCAAGAGCCCTTTGGTTTTTTTCTTGTATCACTAAGGCATATGCTTCATTTACTGATAACACAGGGGTTTTTAACAAAATTTGACTGCGAACGTGAGCATAAGTCTCATTTAATCCTACTAGAATTTGTACCAGAAGTTGCTGATAAAAAATTTCAAAAAATGGTTTTGATTCCTTACAATTACATCCTTTACCTGGTATTAAAGTATCTTGTTATCCCATAAATCTTTCATTTTAGTAAAGTATGTGGTAACAGAATCAGTACCTTGAGTTAGGATTCTAATTTGAGTCCATAGGTGATAGAATCTAGTCAAATTAGATTTTCCAAACCTTTCCTTGAACTTACCCCAGACCTTCGCTGCATTTGACGCATAGACGATGCTCGGCAACAGCTCATGCGACACACATCTCCCAATCCACGAGAGAACTATAACATTACATTGCTCCCACAGATCTGCTAATTCTCCTTTGTATAAGCGCTTCACACATGTTCCTTCTACAAAACCTAGCTTGTCCTTTCCCAATAAAGCCAAACGCATCTATCTACTCCATAATCCATAATTTTCGGGGCCTGTTAGCTTGATATCTTTTAGAATAGCTCCAGGCGTATTGGATGGTTGAATATAGAGCGGATGACGATGGTCAATTTGAGGTGTTGAGGTGTCTCCCATGGCGGACAACTCTAGTTTTGACAATGGCGAACTAGCTGTTTGAAGAAGAAGAAGCAGATTCAGAACCCTAATCGCTGCTCCGATACCATGTTAGAAGAATCTAGAAGCTAAGAGCAGAGAAAATCGAAATGAGGAAAAAGAAAATTTGATTCAACATTGAGTCTTTAGTGTACAACATTGTACATTTATACACTGTAGCCTCTAACAAACTTAACTGACCGACTTATTACAAAGGTCACGTGAGGCACGTGACTTCAATAACATTGTACAAGGATCCAAATGGAGCTTTGGATCTTTGATATCGTGGGTGAAGAAAACATAGATATTATTGCCCAGGGATATTTGCTGGTAAAAAAAAAAAAGAACTACGCACGTTGTAATCAATAATATACTCCAAAAAGTTCATGTTAATTTGGACTGAATAAAATGTTGTTTCACATTTCAAGACTGAATGAGGTCGTGTAGGCTGAACCAAGACAAAAGTAAGGGCTCAATAATCCACACAAGTCAAAGGAAAATTTTGTAAAATGTGAACTTTCCTACAACTTTATATATGCTAGAGTAAAAATGAAACGACGTCAAAATTTGGCGTATAATTGCTAAATTGACATAATCAAGAACAAATAGAACTTGATGTATTAATTGTCCCAGTTTGGTTGAGGAAAAATTATTCGTTTTTACGGTTTTGGGCAATGCAAATCTCATTAGATAAATTTTGAAGTTGAGTTGAATTTAGTGATTATTATTTTTAACATACTTGACCTATCATTATTTTAGTTTAACTAATATTGGACTCCCATATTATGTAGCTCACGGGGGATGTAGAGTTTGGGCATCGGGTTCATCTGAACGTAATACTTCTGACGCGGAGCATAAATTTATGTGTAAAAATTTATTAAAATTGCAACAAAGGGTAGGTCTGAACCTAAAACTTTAAAAATACAATGAGTTCAATACTAAACACCTTAAAAGTTGAATTCATAAAGTCTAAATCTTGGATCCGCCTCCGATAGCTCACGCTCAGAACTTCTAGCCAAGGCATATAAGAGTTGTTAATTGTTTTCACATTAATTGAGTAATGAGATATTGTGTGTTGTTTTTCTTTTCTTTACTTTTTGAACCCATTTTTACCAAGAAATGCACGTTCGCCTTGATTGAGTTGGTCAAAAAAGCATTGAATTATTGTATGATATCTTGCTAAGTACAACTATAATTTGATGTAAAGAGAGATGGGGCAATTAATAGGGAATCCACCGTGGAGACTGAAGACCCTACGTGGAAATATATTATGCTACTGAACTTAGTTACCTAGATAAAATAATTTTATCACTTTCCTACTCTCATGACTTGTCATTTAACTAACTGGGTTGAAACATCATGTCACGATCCAAAATCTAACTAGTCGTGATGTCACCTAACCCACCCTATTAGATAAGCCAATTAACAACAATTCAATTTAATTAGATTTATTGCGAAAAAATAAATGACAGAATAACTGAACTTTTATATATTTCTCAAGGTCTGGTAGTACAAATCACGAGCTTCTATGATTTAGAATTTACAAAACCGGTATGGAATAAAATACATCATCTGTTAGAAATAAACGTGAACAGATTAAAAATTCTGAAGCTACCAAGAACAAGAGACAGTTATGACCGGATCGCAGATACATTTTCAATGCCAGCTCCCGCCATACATAACAACATCAGCATACAAAATCTGCACGCAAGGTGCAGAATTGTAGTATGAGTACAACCGCTCTCATGTACTCAGTAAGTATATTGTCTAACCTAGTCGAAGTAGTGACGATGATTTTTAGTAAAAAATACTCACTCTTATAACCTATGCAGTAGACTAACAATAGAAACAATTATGGAACATAACAGATAATGGTACAATAAAATAACTATGCGAGGTAATAAATGATTTCTAGGAGAAATCACAGTAGTACATTCATAATTTTCCTGATGTGAGAAATATATTCAAGATATCACATCGAATGGCATGGTAACACCTTCGTGCATTTATCTCATTCAATTCATAACTTTCCTGGTGTGAGGAATATATTCAAGATATGAAATCGAATGGCATGGTAACACCTTCGTGCACTTATCTCATTCTCACCCAATATACGTTTGTAGATCAAACTAATTGGCACGGCAACACCCTTCGTGCATTTATCTCTTGCTTAGTGAGCATACGTACGACAGTACCAACTAGGTGAACAAAATGCCAGTAAAAATAACGATAAAGTGGGAGACATACATGAAGCAATAATGAACGATGCAGTACATATGGACGACGGTAACAGACTAGGAAAAAAGCATAGATGTAAATGAGACAACAAGGGGGAAAGGATGATATTTGCAAGTTAAACAGATAGAAGGCATGGACAACTCATCAACAATTGGGATAAAGGACTAAGACAGAACAATATCGACAACCACATAGAAAATATAGGTGTAACAGTAACAGTCCCAGGTAAAGGCATGAATACATAAACAAGGAAAAGATATCACAACAAAATGCATGTCCCTCGTCCTCGCTGTTACACCACATAAGTTTAACAACCTTGATACCATTACATATATATTTGATATGGTATTTTGAGTGGAACATTTTTGTAAAAAAAATATGGTATGAAAAATATAATTTTATATAGTTATTAATATTACTACTTTCGAATATGCTTTAAATTGTACACATAATATGAGAAAAGTTTATGAGATTTTCTTTATTGTAAAGATATGAATTATTTTCTCACAAGAAAAGAAGGTTATCTTCTTACCATTTTAAGAATTAAGCGTACGAAATTTTTTACTCTTTATATGAGATTAAGAAAATTATAAGTTGAGAAAATATATGTATTTTTACATGGATATTTTAATGAAATAATAGTGTATGAATTTATTTTACATGGTACCACATGACTGTAATAGTACGGTGTATAAAGTGTAAAAAAAATAAGTAGAATTTTAAGTAATTTGAGATAATTCTTAATTATGTGGATAATTGGTTAATTACCGAGTAACGAAACATTACCTAATTAACTATTAAGTTAGATAAAGATTAAAATTCTCTCCTCCCCACCCCCACGTGGCAAGCAAGCCACTCCTTAGCCAAATGACTCTTAGTCATTTTCTATTAGGTGGCAACCTAATGGATGATTAAAAAGACACTTCATTTTCTAGGATTTTGGAATACAAAAACGTTGACACTCCATTCTCAATACACTTCATTTTTCTAGGATTTTGGTAAGACATTTCATTCTCAACAATCAGATTCCTAAATTCCCTACACAACTATAATCCAGAAACGTGAGCTTAGCCTAACACCTTAGCAATATAATTTCTTACAAATTCCTACTAACATGAGCTTTTGCACTAATGGAATCTAGAATCATTGGTCTACATGCATATCCTACCTTAGGATTTATGGTTTTTTCTTTGGCACTATCTTAGAATGATGGGTGACGGTTATGTATGGATATCCACGGATTGGCTTACCTCTGTGTTAAATTCCTCTTCTCCCCTTCCACAAGATAAAATGGATATCATGCAAGGAGTTCTTGTTTTACGTCAATACACCCCAGAGTCTGAAAATAAAAGAGCATTTTCATCTAGATAGAACAAGTTGACAGGTATGTTAAGGCTATCCCTTCTTTCTTTTGACATGATCCATACGGCACAAACGAAACGAGCAAATTTATAATTTCCATACATGATTCTATTCATAAAAATATTACAGATGCTTATGTTCTTGATTCCCCATTTTTGTCTAGTCGTCCCTCTTTATTTTCACTCACTTGCTCATTATGTGCGAAAAAAAATCTATAAGTATTAGCTGAAGATATTACATTAGTTTTCCAGTTCACATGCTTTCTTACCTATAATAAACGTGTAAACCATGTATTCATTCTAGTTCACATAATTTTATGCCAAATTGCCAATAATAAACATCTAGTGAACCGTCTCGCTGTAGACAGAGATGTGACCTCTAATGTTTGGTCCATCTATATCAAATGTTTAATTTTATATTGTTTTCTTACTAAGGAGCGGTGTGTTCTTAATTTTGATTTGTTTTTTTATTCCAAAAATTAATTTAAATATTTTCCTAGTACTTATAGAACTTTGAGCACCTAGATATTTTTCTTAAAACGATCATTGAATTTAAACTAATCACGAGATAGAATTTTGAAAACAAGGAGCACAACCATTCTTGGCATTTATATTAGTTGTAAATTTTGATATAGACAAACTAAAAGGAGGCTCTTGTTCATCCAAGTTTTCTACGCTTATATGTATCATACATTTTTACGTCAAGGAAAGGGAGAGAAAACATACGAGAGAGAAAGACCAAGAAGCCCGCAGCTATGGTATTGATAGACTTTGATACACATTAACAAAATGCAGTGTGTCACGTTGCTTCTTTGATGACACTGCGAATAAAGTTTATTTCATGATATTAATCAGAGGCATAATGGTTTTACGACGTTCCGAAAGATTTTATTAACGACTTCTCATGCATTGCATTCATTTACATGTACATTGACCCATGACTAGATGGCGTTATATACGCGTATATTTATTTGTATATATATGTATATGGGATATAGAAAAAGGTTACGGCGTTATATACTCACCGCCACCTGATCAGCTGGTATACATTGATAATTTTTCCCACAGTGGCCGAGATGATATGATGGGATGCTCTCAGAGGCTTGATGATGTTACGAACACGTGTACCTATGCGCGACATGACATTCATACGCATATGCATGACACTATAAGTATTTCATGATTTAAAAAATTATCTAGACTTACAGATTAAGTTATTTACTCCATATTTCTTCCATGTCTTTTATGTAC